CACTTTATACTCTGCAACGAAAAATATATACATATAAATGCTCTCCGGCCGAATTACGTGTACGTATACGTGCACCAAGCCAAGGACCCCTCGCCAACGAGCTGCGTATATACGATTATTGCCCAATCCCTTGTTGGGCCCGGGCTAGGATGAATTTAAGTCTCGGTTGCGCTTCGCTGGGCGTCGTCGCATATCATACATGCACACAGTTACTCGGGCGCGCATCGCGTAACATTTATCATCGCGAGCCGTTCGTACATATCTCGTACGACTATCCTTTATTTTTTTTTTTTTTCTTTTATTCTCGCAAGGTGTGGCGATGTATTATCTCTTCCTCTGTAGCACTTCTCACGCGGTTTCTGGGCCAAGTTCGGCAGTGTAGTGCATTGTCGTTTTACAATAATGACGGTGAAAAAAAGTAACGATGTGCCCCACGTTATTTACCCACGATGTGGTACAATTATACAACAAACAACAACGCCCACTCCTACCTTTCCTTTTCTCTTTAATAGGTCGGCACGCACGTGTACGTATATATATATATATATATATATATATATATATATATATATATATATATATATATGTGTGTGTGTGTGTATGTGTGTGTGTGTGTATATAATGGGTATGCACACGTGCGAGGAATCGTTAATTCCTCCCGGCTCCTTTTTTATTCGGCGCCCGGCCCCGCGCTCTCACTTTGCTCGCTTTTTTAATGATCGAGTTCCCCTCGAGTGTACTATATAGTGGGCCCGAAAAGTATGCAGGGCTTTCTTTTTTTTTTTTCTCTCTTCTTCCTTTACCTCCCTTTCCCGTCCCGTCGATACGTGTATGTATCCTCGCTCTGCTCGAAATATCCGTATGTACGCGGTTTTCGGAGCGCCGGGTTTATCTTTGCCCTCCGGACCGTACAGTTTTTGTTTCGGAGGGAAACTTATGATTATCCGGAGCAGTGTTACACCGAGCGGGTAATTAAGCCGCATAGGGTTTTTTTTTTTTTTTTTTATACAAGTGGAATATTGCGAAAGAGTCGCGCACTCGTTTGCCAGTGGAGCCGTGAGTATAAATATGTCACACACGTATATACATACATATATAAATAAATAATACATGGTGTTATGGCATCGGCGACGCTTTCGAGGACGCGATTCATTTGTCATTGTCCGATCGAGCGGGCGCGCAAGGACGCGAGCTTCCCGCGCTCTTGATGACGGGGACGTGACTTTGTTATCCGCTCTTGCGTTTAAAACAAATTGTCTCTCTTGGACGAAATTTTCAGGCCGGCGTATCGGGAACTCGCGCATCGCGAAATGTGAAAGCGCCGGTGGTGGTATTATCGAAAAAAATCGAGCGCGGACAGGTGACGTCCTTTCACGGGAGGATGCTACGGACAAAAGAGCGAGGTGGTCTGGTTGCGAGTGCACACACGCGTCGGAAATGGGGATCGGATGGTGGCTGATTGGTCGTCACGATGGGATATGCGACGCGTTTCAAAACAACGAGCGTAGAGCTCGCCGTGCATTTGACTTGGCCTATACATGGGCTTGGGCTAACCGCTCGGGTGGATCTGCACGCGCGCTTCTCTCGGCCGCTGTAAATGGGCACGCTTTGATGGGTGTAGAAGTACATTAGGCTTTTTTTTCTTTTTTTTTTTTTCTTTTTATAGCTTCGCTTTGCTAAATCCAAAAAATCTAGATTGAACTTTCCTTTGAGAGAAAAGCATCGAGAATTTGCAGGAAAAATCCGAATAGATTTTTACCAAAGAATAATAAATACATTTCGTTATTGTTCAGGGTTATACAATTGATTGAAAGTGAAAATTTTTCCGCAAAAGGGGCGCAGTATACACGCTCTGACGGAGAAAAATTGAATCAATGGTTATTGTGTCGGCCTGACAATGATTTTTCTTTCCAGTTTCTTCGCACGGCTAGACAGATCATAAACGTTAAGAGACAATTAAATGTTTATACACATATGCACCAAACGGCACTCGTAAATATCGCTCCGATCGATTGCTCGAAATTAGTACGAAACTCGCCCCAATCATAAGCGAACCGATTTTCATAACTTTATTGACAATTTGCAGCGCAACAACGAAAACGATGTTACGCCTTTTCCAAGTACGCGTACGCGAAAAATTACACACTCCGCGCGGTCTAATGCCACCCGGAGAGCAATATCAGCGCGGAGCCTCATTATCGCCCCAGAACAAGGGAACACGGACATTATGATGTATAGGTATATGGCGGGTCTTTTATAATATACTACTCTGATGATACAATTTTGAGATCGTGCAGCTCCACGGGGAGAGAGAAAGCGTTGCGTATACACAAGATACGATTTTCCAAAGAAAATGACCATCCATAAGGCCCGTAATTGCGCGTATCCACGAGTACCAAGGCGTATAGAAGTTTCGGTCTCGTTCTGTCGTTGTGCAACACCTGGACCCGCGCCAAAGGATATATATTCTTACGTGCATCGTTTCTAAAATCACCTATCTCACAACCGGAGGTAATTAACGTGGTACGACACGGGCTCACCCTTTTCATCGCTCCGCTATACACGGAAGCTGCACTCGGCGCCTCACCCACGCCCGTCTATGGGCATCCAAAGTGACCAGGCATGAAAATAATACAGCGAGCCGTCATTATATTATAAATGGGTGCAACAATGAGCCGTCAGCGTCATCATCGAGGGTATACAAGTAGGGTATACACTATCTTTTTTTTTTTTTTTTTTCGTCGGTAGCCTTTCCTCGTAATTAAGTTAGCATCGACGTGCGTCACTTTTTAAAATCAAACCGATGCGTGTGTGTACATGTATATAGGTATAGGAGCACACGCGTCAAACTTAACTTTTGCAGTGTCACTCAGCAGCTGCCAATGCCTCATTACTGTACCATTTATAGATTTATATCGCTGCCTTTTTTCCCCCCCTCTCTCTCGACTCCTGCCGCTGTAAAAACGCGAAGCTCTTCTCGTACGCGGCGCGCGCACGTCTCTATATATACTTTGTAGATGTTTTATTAACGTCACCGACTGCTGTGACGTGCACCTCGAACGGAGAAAAATTAATGCCGATCGGCGTATCGGCGGGCCCCGATCGGATGAGAAATTCATCGCGTCCTTACCTTCGGGATACGGAGGGAAGAAAGGAGAAAAAAAAAAAAAGGGTACAGCCGAGCGAGCGAGTCTCGACATTGGTCATTATTACACCGCGAGCCAAGTGATTTTGATGAATTACCGTCGGTTGAAACAGTGAAGACTGTACGGACTCGTGTCCTTTGGTTAAAAGCTTTTGCTCAAAATGGCATTAATTTTGACCTAGTTGTGTATGGTCGCTCACAAAATGGGGATGTATATGTGTGTATACATTGATTTTGTAATACGTCGTATGATGCCGTATTTACAGTCGTAACGATCTAGTGGTACAAGGCTCGGGTGCATTTTTATGGCCGCGCGTCTTCGTGCCTTTGACGATTCGTCGACGAAAAATTTAGGAGCGTAAGTAAATCTTCACTTAATTAGTTTTAATTGTTTCGCGGGTACGGAGTCGACGTGAAAATTGCCATTTGCAACTCGTTGTCTAAACGCAGGTTCGGCTGTAGGGTCATAAATAGAAATGATTGCTCGCTGGTTACCAGCTATTACCGAATAATTTTCGCTATACATTAACCTTTTGCTTCGAGTTGAAATATCGTTTCGCGTCTCCAGGATTTCGTTGGACAAAACAATGGGATGATCAAAAAATTAAAGCTTCTTTACCTTTTTCAAGTGATCATGTATCACACAACACCTGCTGAATAATGTCTAATGTTTCAGACGAGGGTAAAATAACTTTGGGCATTAAAAAACATTAATCGAAAATATAAGAAAATTGTCGGCTGTTATTATACTACCTCAAAGTTAATTTTCCCTGGCAGTGCGTAAGAATCCCATTGCAACATCGTAACATCTTACTCGAGGGAGAGAGCAATTTTCGATGATTTATTTTCTAGTTGCTGTAGTCTTGAAAAAATTTAAATTCATTTTAATAATTTTTAAGATAAAGAAAGTTCCGTACGATCTTACGTAACTCCAAGTCGTGGTTGGGTGTCGGAGGGGGGACGAACATGATAAATGGCACAAAGGCACGTGAGTGAAAAAAAAAGTTGTTGAGATTAATTGAGCTATAAAAAAGCAACCTATAAGTTAATTTTACACACGTGCAGGAGATGATGAAAGTATTCCAATTGTTATAGCCCAGAGACAAGGTCGTAATGCTCGAACTTTTTTTTTTTTTCTAGATTGACAGACGGTGAAATTAATATCAATTTTTATTCACGATTCGTTACGTTTAAATGCTCGAATTGACATTTTGAAGTGTCCTTTGTGATTAGATCACACTTACATGGCTATTCTGATGGGATTAGCAATGATCCTTTCAAAGATTAGTATCGGATCTACTTTTCTCGAGTCTATATGAAAATGAGTATGCATTTATTGGCAATATGGAACGTGTGTCTATACGGGCAAGAGTATGAAAAAAAAAAAAAAAATTTAAGGTCATACCCATACACGTAGTGATAAAAGTATATTCCTTAAGCGCGGAGATAAATTTTGCACCACTGATTAGTCGTTTGTTATCTATCAAGGGGAAAACAAACATAAAAATTTAACAGCCCACAATCGCAGAAAGCAGCAAGAAAAAAAAAGTTGAAGAATGTATAAAAAACACGCGTGATTTCACATACTCTTGTACACTTTTATATAGACTTGTTATTGTGGAGCATTAAACGTTTTATTTATCATCAAACTGGTTGGGAGTTTGTTCATGCAGGGTAACGTAAACATAAATGGTTGATCGTAATAAATAAAACTTATAATTTATTATTAATACGCGAGTAGAAGTACCTTGTTGAACTATACTCTTTGAACTGGGGCCAGCAGAGTTGAAAATACCCACCCCGAGATGAAAAACCATCACCTAACCCGAGCACCTCTTCTTTGCTCTGTTCGCAGGATGGCGAAACCACCTGCGAAAACTGCCAGCAGACCAGTGCAACGGTAATCGACGGCACTTTCAATGTGAGTATATATTTATACGTAGCGTCGCTCGACACATACAAATTGAAAAAAAGAAAAAAAGAAGAAGAAAAAAAAAGGACGCACTCGACCACGAGCGGGTGGAAAAAAAAAAACTCGTTTCGCGAAGTGCCTTTTACGGGGCCGCCGTCGCCCGCGTGCCTTTTTTTCGGCCTCTATTTTTATTTTACGCGCCCCGTACCCATGATAATTACGTTAATTGCGATAATAAGAAGAGAGGGGCAGGATCCGAAAGCCCGAGAGACGTGTACATACAAATGTGCACGGGCATCGGTCATCTGGGAGCTGCACAAGCAGGTATATGTGCACACACCCCACTCGAAACGAGACGAGAAATCGCGAGGAGGAAAAAAATGCCCTCCCCAAAAGGGAAGCCTACACGACTTATCGGCTTCTCTTGTCCATCCACCGTAAACTATTCATTAACTTTCAAGTCTATTATACATCCCCCCCCCCCCCCCCGCGATGAATTGTCGCTCTTTGATACGCATCACAATTAAAAAACAGATACATAACGCGTACACCGAATGATCGCCGACGGCAAATCGTGATTCGTTCTCATGTATGTGTATCATAAATGTGCCGCAATGGAAAGATGGATTGACACCTGCTGTTATTGATTTCGCCCGTAGAAGCCGAGCAATGAGACCACCTCGGGGCCGGCGCAGGTGGTGTCGCCGAAAAAACCAGGGAAAACCGTTAGCGAGCTCAAGGTAATTGTATGTACCTACAACCGTGTGTCAAGCATCGTGATCCCATCAATCATTTTTTAACTTTTTCCCATTTCATTTTTTAACACCGTGATGATGCCCATTAATCGCATTGGGTTACTTTGGACTCGGGTCCAGCTGCCGGAAAAATCACTGCGTTAAAGCCAAATAAGCTTCGGTCATTTCTTTCGATTGCTCTCCTCCGACGTACAAAGGCCCGAGGATTGAGTCGGGAGTTGATTATTTTGCAAGCTCAGCGGACTTTCTACGCCAAGACTACCTGTTAATGTGTTTCATAATTCTATTTTTTTTTTTTTTTTTTTTCATCCGAGCCTTCCACCCGCTGTTATAAATTGCCGCTTCATCGGCCCAACAATGGGAGACCAGTGTATGTTTATTCAAGAACGCAACTGGGTAGATTTTCCAGCAGCTAGATCTCGACAATCAATAATAATAGCACAACGTGGTTTTGCTCAAATGTCCCGCTGTATGCACTAAATCACCTGCACGTAAAGATCCATCGATGCCTGGCAAGCACGTCAACCGGCGCACAAGAGTGCACCTATATGTATATACATGTGAATTGTGCAGTTTTCCAACCCGAGCACGATAAACCACCGCAGAGGCCCAGCACAGCTTGCTTCCGCATCCGTCAACAGAAATAGCAAATTAAAAAAAAAAAAAAAAAACTTGCTTTTCCCCACAGATCCCCGTGAAGACCAGCGAGGCGAAGGGCAAAGAGACGAAGCTGGCCAGGAAATCCCAGAGGCGCTACGACCAGGAGCCCAAGCTTCGCGAGCAGATCCGCAAGTCCCTGGAGGCCCAGCGGGAGCAGCAGCGCGTCCACCAGCGCCAGCTCCACCGCCGGCAGCTGGAGCTCCTTCAACGGTACAGCAAGAGGCTGCAGCAGCGGGTCCTGGCCGAGCAGCAGGAGCGCAGCTTTTACCGCGACCCTTTCGGCTTCAACGCCATCGCCGAGTGGATAGTCGGGCCTCGAGTGGTCATTATCAGCGGGCACGGGGGTGGCCACGGGGACGGGCACGTCTACCAGTACTACAACAGGGAGAAGCCGTTGCACTTTGGAGGACAGCCGACTCGGCTTCTTCAAGGTAAGTTGCTTTTCGGCGTGTAAGGGGCATATACATAGCGTGTTGCTCCCCGATGACCTTCAGGCTCTTTCTCTTTTTTTCCCTCCTCTTCGCGAGATGCGCGCCGTGTAAGTGTGTATATATATATATACCTTGCATACTGCACATAGCGTGGGATACGAGCGCCTTTGTTCGAGGAGTTATTCGATCCCCGTCGGATGAGTCCTGGAGTATATTATACTGTCCGCGGGAGCGAAGGATGACAATGGTATTAATTGCGAATCAACGAGATCGGCCCTTGAATCGGGCGTTTCTTTATTTCTGGGACACCAGGGGCGTGTGTAAACACTTACTCGCGCGTGGCTTTGTTTCTTCTTTTCAAGCCTTTTTTTTTTCCTTCCTCTCTTTTTTCGCTCGTTTCATCGTGAGAGACTCTTTTGTTGCCGAAGCGCGACGTTTTGTTTTGCCGTCCCGGCCTTGGCCTTTGCTTCTCCACGTTTTTCGGAAGTTTGCTTACTTTGATGAATTAACGATCGTTGTAATTGATGCAAAAAAACAAAAGGAAAAGGCCTTGCGGTGAAAAATAAAACGAGCGCTTGGAAGCAAAAGTGTGCATTGTACGCAAAACGCGAAATGAGAAATCGGAATTGAGCTGCGGTCGAGAAATGAATCTTGGAGCGTTGTCGGTTATTGCCCGGAACGTTGGTTTGAAAGGGGGGCGGTGCTCGGTGACAGACCACGGCATCGTAAGACCACTTTAATGCAAGGAAAAAGAAGAGCGTATGAAAAATAAAGGAGGAAAAACGCGACCTCGTAACACCAGAAGTGCAGCACTCTTTTTTTTTTTTTTTTTTTTTTTTTTTTTTTTTTTTTTTTTTTACTCGCTAAACAAAACGAGTCATCCCCATCAGCCTCTATCTGCACTCACTCTCCCCGGAGTCAATTACGAAGCCTTATCCGAGTTGCGCAACTCGAAAGTCCTTCCGCTTTTGCCGGGGCAAAGGTGACCAGAGTATTGTAATTGATGTGCTATTTTCGTTTGTACCAGCAACGACTCGGCCCTTGGCTTCGACCACGGCGAGCACAGCCACGAAGAGCCGGCAGAGCAAAGTAATTGGCCCGACGCACTTGTACGCGGTGCACGAGGCCGTGGACGAGGGCGCGAATCCCTTCACCTGGCCCAACTGGTTCGGCGTTTTGAGCGTGCGCACGGCGACCTATCCGCTCGAAGACAACAATGGGACCCCGAGGGGCGGTGGCAATTACGCCAAGGCCAGGAAGTACGATCGGATGAGGGAGGACGAGATCGCCAACAACGAGATCGACGCCGAGGGAGACGCCAAGGTTTTCTTTCCTCCCAACTAGATGAGGGTGTGTTCCCCCCCCCCCTCCAGGAGACTCGACGATTTTTCGTTACGTTTACTTGGGATCATGACAATCCTACGCTTTGCGAACGGGAGTGATAATAATGTTGTTGATGTTAATGAAAAACTTGTAATAAATTATGCATAAATGCCTTTCTCGATCGTATCTCGCGAGTCTTTTAATTACGAGTAATTGATACATAGTCATCTTTTATTCAGAGGATCAGCGTTTAATATTACAATGTCGTGATTTTCCGTGGCACGTGGTGTACTATGAAAAGTTTTCTTGCCGGGGACGAAAATTCTTATTAATTACGGAACTGCGCCCCGAGACGTGGGCTATTATTATTCGGTGAGTTTTTAATCAATCGACGGTGATTTTTTTTTTCGGTTGACTCGTCGACGGCCGATTCAAACCTCAATTACTTACGGCTCTGTTATTCCTTCGTAGTTGACTAAGAAAATTATGTAAAATTTCACGCACGATCCTTTTTCTCGATGATTACCATCACAGCGATTTATAAGGCGTATACTTGAATAATGAGGCGAGAAGAAAATGTACATTAGTGTGTTAAAAAAAAAAAAAAAAGAAAGAAACGGTACAGGGACATTATTTTCATTTGCTTGATTTTAAATTTAATGCGTCTCGTTATCGAGAGATAACCAATCCACTTAACTCTGCCCGTGAGGATCGAACAAAGAAAAATCGTCGAGTCCCAACTTTTCGCAAAGGGAGGGTAAAAAGGGAAAAAAAATAAAACAAAATAACGCAGACTGCCATTAAAACTGCCCGTGCTTGTTTTTGCTCGCTCGATGCAAAAAAAAGCTCCAAAATGAAATAAAAAAAAAGACTTGCGACCTTGGTCGACTTTACCGTAAAAAGAGAATCGGAAACCTCGGCCTGGCATCCGCCTACCACTTGCAAAAAAAAAAAAAAAAAAAAAAACTTATAAGCTGATTTTGATACGCGCCTGCTTCTTACTTTACATACACGTATACAATGTTCCCTTCCCTCTGCCTCTGTCGCTCCTTTTTCTTATTTTTCCCTCGGCCTTTACAAAAGCCCGCAGACAACCAACTCCTGTACATTTCACACCTTGTATTATATTGCACGGACACTTATACACGTACACACATGAAAGACGTAGCTTTAAGAGTATACATTATTATTATTACTTAACTATCATGTAAACGTAGGCGTATCTTTTTTTTTTTTTTTTTTATCATTATGAATGTGTGTAAGTAATCAAGTGAGGAGGGATTCTTGCGAAATTTGTTAAGTGTACGCAAAGAGATCGTAAAGATTAGAAAGTACAGGTTTCTTCAAACTTATTGAAAGCTCCTTCAAGTAATAGCTTTATGATCACGATCTTTTAATGTAGGGTAGGATTTTTTTCTGTATAATGAATGTAGTGTTTGTAAATAAATTTCGAACCTTTTTTTTTATTCCTCCACTTCTGAATTGAATTTGGATAATTAAGATTTAAACGATTCGATGAAGATGTAAGTTTTACGGAAAATTGTGTGAGTTTAAAAATTTGTAATGCGTGTGGAAATTTTGATTTACAAATTAAGTATAAAATAAGATTTTCATCGATTCAGAGGAGCAGTGTACGAATAGAGAACTTTTTATGCAATAAGAAAGCAGACAACTGATTTTTACGACTTTGAACGATCATGGCCTTTTAAAGTCGTGAATCGCAGTTTATGTATTTTGTACTAATTTTTTTTTTAATACATTAAATTTCAGTGTCAAAAAAACAGTTGTTTATTTATTTCACCTAAGTATACCTACTTGTCGTAATAACACCTCTTCCATTTTTCATGTGTCACTATTCACCAACATTACTTATACCGATGTTAAAAAAAAAAAAAAGAATAATATATTTATTAGTGGCAATATTACAAAAAAAATATGATTAACAAACCAACAACTGTGTTTTACCTCAAAATTTTTCAGTCCCTGTTGATAATAAAAACACGTGTGCCTAATAATTAATCATTGGAGGTACATGTTTCGTAATTGTCGGGTGAACGGAAAGTAAGACATTTTTATCACTATTTTCCAAGGGTCATGTGAACATTGATCGTACAAACGCAGAGTCAAAAAATCCAAGGACTAAATTAAATCAAACGCACACACGTAGGTATACATGTATACATAAACTCCTTACTTAAAAGCAGCGCGGAGGCGATCGGAGCTTGAAATAAAATTTTAACGAGCAATTAAGCGCGAGTCGAATAGAAAAATCTAATAAATTACCCACGCGCGCGTACGTATACAGAGACGCGCGCAAGAAGGAAGATGAGGCAACCCACAGGCTTTGCTTGAAAAAAAAAAAAAAAAAAAAAAAAAAATCGAAATTTACCAAGAGGCAAGCACATCCACCGATGTTCGATCATCTCGTCTGTCATCCTGCGGTAATTCTACTCATTACCGATCTCCATCGAAAGGGGGGTGGTTTTCTCTCAATTTTTACATAATTCAACCCATTTCCTCGACCACGCATAAATGTATATACGCTCCGTGTGCAATTTTCTTAATATATGTAATACACAAGTTTTCCAGCACCAGAGAGAGAGATGTAGGGGCGGGGGGGGGGGGGAGAGAGAAAGGGCACGTTTCAAAACGCGAAAACAAAAAAAAGGCAATAATTTCGGACGCGAGCGAAATTACGGACCAGACCCTTGGGAGGACGGTATGTTTCGGCATCCCTAACCATCGCTTATTGCATAATTCGTGCCGAATCCGGAGCATCTCTCCGGCTCTCGTGTGTACGTGCGCGAAAATTCATGAGGGAATTACGAGAAAGGTATACACGGGAGTGATGAAATTACAAATGTACACACACGCGCGCTCGCGATTAAGTAACTCGGCGACGCTCATCGTCCTGGTGGGCTCTCGGAGATTAACGTCTGGTCTGGATTCTCCCCCGAGAGAAGGAGAGATCAACGAACCCTCGCGCTGTGCAATGGATGTACGTTTTTTTGCAAAAAAAAAACAAATACAAAAAAAAATACTCGAGTACACAAATTGAGAAAGATTCGCGGGATAATTGATATGACGGGGCAGAGAGAGAGAGAGAGAGCCTGCAGGTGTGTGGTGCGCGGTTAATTTAATTTGGTTAGATAACTGGCAATTTGCTTTTCGATTCGATAAGATCTTGGGACTGGGCCTTTGCGGTAGTGGAGCGTTGTATTATTGTTTGATTCCTCCGCTTTTACATTTTAGCCCATCAACCGAGGGAAATTGTTAGGATTTTTTCTTTTCCATTTGGAGAGTATAAGAAATCAAATTACGTCTTTAGGCTAATATAAGAGTATTATAAGCGCATTAGTGATCCATTATGAGGTTATTCTATCTTCATTAGATATTATATATACCTACACAATCTTTATGAAAGAAAATTAATGAGTGATTTATTTTGCAATGTAAGCTAAAAGACTTCCGTAAGTGAATGATGTCTTACACTTAATGGTGGATATAAAAAGTAACAAACAATGTGGTATGAAAACAACAAAAATTGTATCCATTCGGAGTAGCCTGTGTAGTACGTGTACAAAGTATCAAAGGGAAGGATCTAAATTTCTTAATATTCCTAGTATAAGCCTCGGAGACTGGGGCAATTGGGTGGTTGTGTCTACACGTTTGTAGACGGTCGCGGTAAAAAATATTGATAACCCGATAGGGACCCCCGATGGATGAAGATTGGAGGAAGGAAAAATCGTCCGTTTGTACCGGTACTCGTTTCGTTACTCGCGGGCACTCCGAGAGATCGGCTCCCAATAAAGTGGGTCACGCGATGCAGGCATCTTTTGTTTTCCCCAGCTACGCGGTAATAAATCTCGATCGGTCGTTTAGATGTACAGCTAGAGAGAAAAAGCGGGGAATTTTGCGCGTCGAGTCTATTAAATTGCGTAAATTCGCGGTGATGGGTACGACCATTTTATCTATTTTTGCAAACGTACTTGCCACCGCGAAAAATTCAGCGCGCGACAATGCTTTCTCCGACTCGCGAGCGAGGAAGCAAGGACTCGCTCGTAAAAATTAAGCTGGAAAATTCCTTCGATCATATTACTCACCGTATACTTACGTAGTGAGTGGTTATTTGCCACTGACGCACACGTGGTACGGGGCGGGGGGACTAATTAATTAATTGTCTTCTTTTATTGCAGCTGTCGTGCAAAATGTGGTGCGAAATGAAGTTCTGTTTTTACACGTACGTATATAAATTCACATCCTCGGAAGCAATACATTTATACCCCTGTGGGTATAAATTTGTTCCACGTAGCGAAACTAACTTTCTTGGTGATACGTACATTGTTTTTATTTTCGTTGAAAGCAATTCTTCCTTCGTGGTGAATTTTTTTTTTTTTTTTTTTGCAAAGCAATTTAACGTGATTTTTCCGATCGTATAACTCAATTTGAGGCCATTAACTCGATAGCACAAGAATAGCAGGGTCGGAAGAAAAAAAATGATGATTAAAAAAAAACTAAAACAAAACAATAGTTTCAAAAGAGATTTTTGTCTCGATCACCGCCAGCAGGAGCAGGTACTACACCTACGTAATACCGGAAAATATTGCGCATGCAAATGGAAGCGCGGTGAGCTCCTCTTGGGTGAAAAAATAATCCCGGCGATGGAGATAAAAAGTTTGAAAAGGCATGCCAAGTGTATCGATGGCAGAACAATGGGGAATAAAGATACGCGGGACGCGTAGCGCGGAGGTGAGCGCAACAAAGCCCCGTGGTGTGCTCGCGGAAAAATCGGCAACGAAGGGGAACGCGAGAGATGCATCTCTGCGCGCGCGTGTGTGGGGTACAAAAAAAGCGCTCGGAGCCGAGGTATAATGTAATTGCACATCGGAAATTTCGATCGGTGATGGTAATGCGTCTCTCGCGCGGCGCACAATAAAATGCGCGAGAGTGAGTAAGCAGCCGATCCGCCGATCGATCAATCAGCCGTACCGGGAGCTTTGTTTTTTTTTTTACGCGTTACTTTATTCTTGTACTGTTTGGTTTTTTTTTTTTTTTTTTTTTTTACTTTCCACGAATGAAANTTTTTTTTTTTTTTTTTTTTTTTTTTTTTTTTTTTTTTTTTCTCTGTCCAATGTGATTTCTTGTTTTTTGGTTTCTTGATTAATGGGAACGAGAGGCATGACGTCGAGTTGGAAACTATCATTTTTCCAATTTATCAATCTGATGACTTTTTTTCGCCTCAAATCAATCGGCAGCTGTTGCTTGGATTGAATAACTTGAATTTACTACTAGTTTTTTTTTTTGCAAAATTTATAATCGTTGCGGAAAATTTTATCTGGCTCTATGATACTATGAGTTTTCTTAATTGCACGCAACGTCATTGAAACGTTTAAAAAACTTTGTTCTTACTACTTTATTTTTACTACTCGATCAGGTGTTATGATTAATAATATTAAATTATAGACATAATTAGTTAACTTTACTAATTTAAATGATAGTGAAAATACCGCATAAAATAGCTACTTTAGATGTTGTCATCATCAAGATGGTAACACCTCATTTGGCCACTAATTTCATGCAAATGAACTCAAAAGAAGTCCTGAAGTGATTTTAGCGCTCATAAAAAGACAAAGGACGCTTTCAACGTTTCTTAAAACGTCATAAAGTGATAAAATTGCAAGAGCAACCTTTTTTCTAAATTTTTAAAACGTTTTGTGCTATTAGGGCTATTACCTCACTAATAAATTATTACAATGAGCTACACCAGCTGATGAAATTTGAATGCTAATTGTGAGTCTCGGGATAATAATTCCAAGTACTTTGATATTTTAATAATCGCGAAATTCCAAGCTACGGAGCACAATTAAATTGCGTCAAAATACCGCGGGATGTCGCAATAAATTCAGACACATCATAATACACAGCACCGATAAAAATAGACAAGCGAGAGGAGATGAAAAAAAAAAAAAAAAAACTTTACCGATCGAACGCAATAATAAACACACGTAGTCAAGAGCCGATGAGAATCCGTTGGGTCTCCGCGTCATTGTTTCCCACTGTACGCGCTTTGATCCCATTCGGCATCTCCCTGTGACATTTCGAAAAACTATATATTTGTCGCAGCTACTTTTTGCCAGGCGTTGCGAAGTCGCGGCTCAAAGTCCAATGTTAATGATCCCTTTGTGCGGTTAATTGGCGGCCCGTCTTTTTTTTTTACTCACACCCGATCAGTTGTCATTAAAACGCATATCGCTGGATGTGAAAATTTTCCAGGTGCAAAAAAAGTTATTTGTCCAGTACGGCTTGTTATTATATATGTATATGTACAAACGTACTTGGTTTGCCGCGGGATTAATTTGAGGTCTCAGAGGCCTTATTAGATATAATAATTGAATTGCGTTTACACTTTGAGAGCAGATAAAAGTTAAATACGGCTTGTCATCCATTGCACTCAAGTGTCGTTCCGATGGCTTGAAACGTGTACGGATTTACGAAGGAAGGGCACAAAAAAAAGAAAACCTCATACTTCACGTGGACTCGACGTATTATAGAGCAAACGCGAAATGGGGGGAAAGGTAGGTACACTCGACATAAAAATCGTGAAAAGATTTCCTCGTATACGAATAATACAGGGAATTTAGCGATTGGTCGTTGCCGCGTGTAGAGATCGCGGTCCATCTAAAAGGCGACGTTTTTTGCGGGATCGTTGGGTTAGGAGTGACGAAAAGAATTATTGCAGGTGTTCGTGCGAGCCAAGTGTGGCTTTTCACGCAGTTGCAATAAAATTACTCCCGTGTACGTGGTCGCCGGGCCTGCCGTCCTTGTGCTCGACAAATCGAGAAAATGTTTAAAATTTTCAAAATGTCTCGGAAGAATTAAGAAGTGAGTACAAGTTTCTTTTTTTTTTTTTTTTTCTTACCTTCCACTCGCTAAACAATTAAGCTCCGAGCGCTCGCCGTCAACTGGATCTAAAAACTTGATGAATTATTTGTTTCGCAGAATTCGACGGCCAGCGTCATATTTCCCACTAGCCGTGACGTTCATGTGCTATCACATAAAATTGCCCGACCTGAGATATTACATATTACGTACATGTGTATATTTTCACAATGCGAGCGGTGAGAAGCTTTGATACGTTTATTGCAACACACGCTTTGATCGGTGCTTTTTTTAAAATCTTTTTTTCCTTTTTTTTTTTTACGCGCATGACTCTTTTAAAGATCGTGTTAAAGAAGTGCCCGGGGCTACCTTACACTTTCACTCGCACGGATGAACGTCGATTTTAAGTATTGATAAAATTCACTTACTTTCTATGCAGCGGCGTTCGGTTTGGGCCGAAAATACCTGTATACATTTACATCATGCAAAACATAAACACAATGTTTAAATTCGGAGGCTGTGTCTGTGTATTCTTGAAGAGAAATCTCAAAAAGTTTTTTGGTGTGCACCTAGAATTAGCTGAGAGTCACAGGCTTGTTTTAGATGAAGCCTTGCACTACGGAAATAAAATAAATTACTGCGTTTGTTTGATAAAATATCCATAGTATTACCGCTTACTACCCTAAATTTCTCACGATCCGATCTTCTTCTTTACTTTACAATCAAACAAAAACAACAAAGACACGATTGCATTGGCTTACTCGGGTGATTCAAAACCTGTTTGCTTAAATGAATTTTCAAAGTTTATGTCTTCGTGAACGCGCGATGATTTCAAATTAGAAAATTATACCCAATCGTTACAGTCATCGGTTTTTTACTTCGACTGGGACTATTCATCTATTATAGATACATGCACTTGCGATCCCACTGGAATGTAATAGTAAACATATCCGCTGGATGAGGGTTTTGTAACATTTAATGATTTTTTATTTGTTGCTCATACTTGTGCATGAATTACATTTTATACATCATACGAAAAAAAAAAAAAAAAAACGCAAACAAAAAACAGTATGTAGAGTAAACACAGTCTGACCATAACCTGTCCCTATTCTACTGATTCCACGCATGTACATGATATGTATACTGAAAGCGATGGTAAGTGGGCAGACCTTATTAGCACAAGCAGTTGTGCAAGCCATTGTTATCCCTACGATTACAATCAAAGCCGTATAGCTCGTTATTTTTGTTAATACACCGTAAGTATAATATTATACCTTCAACACTTTGGCACAGCCTCCAACGCGCCAAAGCGAAAACAGACCCGTTTCTCGCGAACCACGTCCCGAGAGACGTAATGTTTCTGTAACCGAAAAAAGAGAGAAACGAATGAATAAATAATCGGTCCAACGAAAACATTTTTGCCGATCCACACGCGCTACCGATACACCTCAAGTTGTACCAACCACGGTCATTACTATATGCAAATTGCGCTACCGTTCTACGTGCGTTACGCTCTAAAAAAAACTCTCTCTCTCCCCCGATATATACTGTTCCCGTGCCTCGTTTTTCCTCTCTTCTGTCACATTCACCTAATTTTACACTAGACCAATCGCACAAGATTATAATCCATCGCCGCTTCAGCTCCATTCATGCGGATGCGCACAGATACGTCTTACTTGTAAGTCCGAAAACGCTTCGCACATCAATTACCCTTGCAATCAAAACATTGCACGGCCAAGCTAAACGTACAACCTAAGCGTGCATATATACATATAAGTAGGGGATAGCAGCGTAACAAAACGCACACGCAACCGGCGGGTAAAAGAAAGAGCGATTATCTAGGTTGTGTGCGTGTCATATGTGTACATACATATTAACCACGTTCTCGTGCACGTATACAAAAGTGTAGGCAGACAGAGATACACGTGTGTATATATAGGCATATCGGAGGCGAAGCGAGCAGTTCCCGTGGCCGGGTATATACGGCAACGCTCTTGGCGTCCAGTTAACGCAAAGATGTCGAGGCGCGCGGTGTTGCTGGACACGTCGGCGGCGTTCACCGCCTGCTGGCTAATCCTCGCCACCTTAGGAGCCCTTGCCCGGGGCTTTCCCGCTCAGGAGGATGACAGCGACTCGGCCGGTCCGGTGAGTTTTCTGGGACACAGTAAGTTGTTCTACACTTTACCCACACACTCGCATCCCTTACCACCACCAGTGTATACGCATGTATATGTATATACCTTATTTTTACTCGCCACGCGGCCTTTCTTTTTGCTCCCGCGAGTGAACGATCGAACGGGTGAGCTCTGGATCCTGCGCTGTATACAGGACTTGAAAGCTGCGCCGACACCTTGACTCTACGCCGATCGCTCGTTCCTTCGATCGGTATACGGCCCCGGTTTTATTTTTTTCTTTTTTCGCCCTTTCGGGTCATCCGAACGAGTCTTTTTTTGTTTTTCTTTATGATATTTATCTCTGGTTTTTTTTTCTTCTCCGTCTCTTTGCCATTTGCATGCCCGAGTCGCAGTGTAACTCGTAAGCTGAACTTGACTTTTGATCCCCGGCCGATACGAGCGCGCGATCTAACAATGCGTTGGCTATTCAACGACCCCTCGATGTGTATAGCCAAGACGCTGCGTACGTTATTATATATATCTACATCTGAGCTATCTCTGTAAGTACCATTATGTCAGTAAACGGCTGCTTATAGTCACCCAATTTTTTTATTATAATCCATATATATGTGCGTGTCGATCTCGAGAAAATCGGATTTCTCGGTATGAAAAGGAGATGCAGGAAGCGAGTGTGTACACAATTATACAAGACAATCATCGTCTCCCAAGGCAGCTTCATGTGCATTAAAAAACAATCAGAGCTCCGTATGAGATTATGTATGTTATATACACGTACCCCCGTTGCGTGAGCCTACCGGGTTATTATTTTCCTCGCGTATATATAGCAGCAGAGTGTCTATTGTGCGAGACAGCTGTCATACTTTTATAGCGGCGAGGATCGAAATGAGCGCAACATAGCTGGTGGAAAAAAAAAAAATATATTTACGACTAGATGGATGAATCGATGATGACTGGCGAGACGGAAGGCGTGTATGATATCATATATATATATA